AATGGGGCAAAAGAAACCGCCGCCGTTTCTCTCGTCGTGTTCAAAAACGATGACAGATGGATGGATGGATGGATGGCTTGCCGGAGCATCACACACGAGACGGGTGTCTCGGTGTGGGGTGGTGGGATGTATTATATGGGGGATGTGCAGATGGTCATCGCTCTTATCCCATTCCGGTCGGTGAGCCCCCTCTCTGTCTCTCTCACCCCATCTCTGGCCAGCCAGCCAGCGACCCATTGAGTCAGTGAGTATCAGTGAGTACGTACTCAGTGCATCCCACAGCAACCGGACAACCAAACCATTCAACCAACATCTCACACTCATCCGAGGGGACAGACAGGCAGACCGACACCACGGCTCTTGTCTTGCGTTCGCTCGTTCATTTCACAGAGACATCAGTGAATAGGGTCGATCGGGGAAGGGCTGGACGGGACGTGCTGGCACGATAGTACAGTAAGACAGGCCCAGGCTCGTTTTCCAGCCAGCCCTCCAATCCTTCACTGTGTGTTTCCCCCCCGAAGCCAGTCGGTCAGCCACAAAAACGCAGCAAGCACCGCAGCACACGGCTCCCGATGCAGAGGGAGCCAGGACGCGACCTCTTGTCGCCGTGCTCTCTGCGCATCGAAAGAGCCGCCCAAGGAGCTTTAAGAACCTACCACCCTTCGCCCCCTTCCCCTCTCCCCATTCCCCTGGCTGGCTGCCTGGCTGGCTGTCTGGCTCTTGTGACGTGAGCGCTAGCAAGCAGCCACACACGTATGACATGCATACCATAACATGTATGACGGGACACACAGCCATGCCGATCATCGGTCCGCCATTTCGCACCTAGCCTTAAAGTGACACAAACATGCACATGCAGCCAGCCAGACAGCCAGCCAGCCAGACAGACAGACAGCACTTGACCGACGGGTGTAGTTAGCGAAGTCACCCAACCGGCCGACCCGCTAACGCGGCTTCCTGGCCTTACATTGAGACAAAGATACTCAGACATAGAGACATAGAGACAGAGAGAGAGAGAGAGAGACAAGCTGGTCGTATAAGTTGTCGACTCAGACGGTCACTCAGTCAGCCAGTGCTCGATACGATATGAGGGCGGGACGCCATGAGTATCTTTCCACCACCAGGCAGGCAACTGACACCCCACCATCCCATACATCTGACCGATTCATCGGTCCGTTCGTTCGCCCCCATATAAATCGCTCCCCTTTTCGCCCCTATCGACCCCCTGATGCGGTTTGCTGGCCTTAAATGAAGATACAGACAGACAGACAGACAGAGAAGCGAGAGGGACAGAGTGAGTGAGTGAGTAAGTGTGCGAGGACAGATCAGGTTCCCACCCACTCGGTCCTGGGCACACGTCTGGGAGCTTCGGGCTTCGATTTCATCAACCGGCTCCCTCCCCCCTCTCGCACGTCACACACATCTTTCCGAACCGACACGGCTTTCGAGACGCGCAAGCAGCTCATCGGAGGCGCACGCACACACACACACACACACAGCAACATATCCGATTGCTCCAATCGCTGTGCGACGGACGGCACGAGAGCCGCACAGGCTGCATCGATTTACCACTGACCTTGCCATGCACGCTTCTGGTGGACATGGAAGCGGCCGCAACTGACCTCACTCACTCCCTCACTCAATACATGAATACTGACTGTGTACACGTGCGGTCAGGTGGATGTGGCATCAGATAGCAGGCTGTCGGCAGCTGCAAGCCGCCGCCCTATCTGATGCCACATTCACCTGACCGCACGTGTACACAGTCAGACAGCACCGGTAGTGGCCTACCTACCACCGCCCCCTTTTCCCCCCCACACACACATACCCATATACACACGACACAGACAGACAGACAGACAGATAGCCATGAGTCACTGCGGGAATGATTGAGTGAGCGAGTGAGTGCGGAAGATAGCGTTCCGTATTTGAGGGCGGTCCCACCCGCTCTGTCCTGCACGGCACAACCCATCAACTCCCTCACCCCTCTCGCACTTCACGCACATCTTTCCGGGACCCATCGACACTCAAGGCTTTCGAGACGCTCGACTCAGCTCATCGGAGGCTCACACGCACACTCACACACACACACACCGCTACGCACAAAAAGGGCGCCAACAACACCATATTCGATTGCTCGAGCCGTTGCTGCGACGGACGGCACGAGAGCGATCCACAAAGGCCGCAATTGTATACCACTGGCGTTGCCAGCACGTGCAAGGTGCACACAGAAGCGGCCGCAACCGACTGATGGATCACTGATGCTCACGCAATAATTAGAAAAACACTGTGGATGGCCTACCTACCACCGCTCCATTGCCC